TGTGTGTGTGTGTGTGTGCGGGTGCGTGTGTGTGTGTGTGTATGTGTGTGTGTTCGTGCGCGTATAAATGCTGACTTCCTGAGACTTTTTAATCTCTTCATTTTCTCTGTTTACTGATCGTCTCAGTGGTACGTGTGTGCGGTCATCTGCATATGTTTGTGCCTGTGTCTTATTTTATAATAATACACAGCTTACTGTTGTATTTCATATTCTTTGTACCTTCATCATTTCTTTCATGAATAAATTACACTTCCCTGATGAACTTTGGAACCATTAACTATGAAATGTGTTTATAGGGTGTTTCAGTTTCTACACTACAACATTAATTATGTAATAAAACTTTCACCAGAAACTGTGGGTACCATAATGTTATTATTATGATGTCTTTGAAATATGCCAAGCCTGTGATAAGGATGAAAATGTGAAATCCTTGTACATCCGTTTATTTCGTTAAAAAAATGAGAGCACAAAAATATCTTGGGTTTGCTTCAAGTAAAACTCAGCCTTTATTTGTCAGTTTCTGTTATTCTTGTTTTATTGCTTGTTGTCATACCCTAGACAAAATTAGTTCCAAGTTCCTCGTTTCCGCCTGCTTTTCTACACACTTTTCCCTAGTGTCTCTGTAACATTTTTCCCCGATACTTATAGAGCCATTATGTTTTTTTTTTGTTTTTTTTTAAATTATGTCAAATCTATACGATACGGAATTAAAATTTAATAAACGAATAACACCTTTTTCAAATAGATGTAAAAAGTTGTCATGTTCCTCTTCTCCCCTTTGACTAGTGCAACCGCTCTTGACTACCTTAACCATGTCAACCACCCGGGGCTGTGCCACGGACTGAAGTGTCTTTTGGCCATTCCCAAAGGGGGGACATTTCTCGTTTTAGTTGACAGTAGAATTGTAAATGGGCTGACCAAACAGTGTCATGCTCATAACTGTGCCTGATCTGCAACAGAGAACTGCTGCTTTTTCCTTCCTAATCCTTACTATCGTCATTTTCTTCTACTTCTTTTGTATGTTTGTCACACTCTTGTGACCCGCTATTTCTGCGGTTCCTTGATAGTCGACGCAGACTTTGTGCTGTTGAATCTAGAGAGGTGAGCAGAGTAAGTCCGATTCCATGCGAGGACTTCTCTGTTGACATACACCCCTTGGCGCTCATATATGACCTTATGCAGTTGCGAGCGCCTTAAAACCTCGACAAAAACAAAATAACCTTGTAACCTCTCTTGACCACCAAAAACCTGTGAGGCCGCTCTTAAAAGGTCGCAAACCTTGAGTAAACCTCAGTGCCTCTACGTGTGAGACAACCTCAACAGAAGCACTCTGTCTTTCAGTGAACCTCCCCAGTCTTTGTTTTTGCCTTTCATGTTCATTCATACACGCTCTCCTGACATTTTCTTGGGATCGAGTTTACAGTATACGGTGTGCAAAGAAAAGCTGATATCTGTATTTCTTTTCTTAACGAAGGCTATGTGGGTTGTTTTTTTACGGCCCCATCGACACAACGTAGATCATTTTGGAGGCAGGCCACCGACCCTGTCAGGGCCAACCCAGACAGAGGAAAACAAAAATCCCTACAGGAAGACCGAGATACTCAATAAAAATTCTCCCCACCCGGAAATCGAATTCGGGTCTCCTGTGTGCGACAGCGAAGAGCTTCGCCCACCGCAAACGCAGGAACACCTTGTGTGTAGTATACTATTAATATGTGTTACTACCGCAAACGCAGGAACACCTTGTGTGTAGTATACTATTAATATGTGTATATAGTAACATTATGTGTGCGTATGTGCACAATGTGCAACGTGCTTTCATTGCGTGTAATAGCAGACCAGTAGTACACGTAAAACCCAGTGCATACCGCCAATCGAATTCAGTCGCACCGAGTCGGGGCTGGCCATATTTTCCTCCAAAGACGGGCAAACGCTATCATTTCGACACAATACGACCATTCGACCGCGACCTCAAAAAAGCTAACTACGCTTTAGATTTTAAAGGGAAGGTTGAATGTAGTTGAATTTAGTCGGAATGGTAGCTTTTGCCCCTCCGTGGGGAAAAAATCTAGCTGCCCCTAGCACAATTAAATGAATTCGATTAGTAGTGTTCACTCAGTACATGTATAAGATCGGGTGCAGGCAAAGTATTGCCACTATATATTTGTATAAATCAAAAACTTACGTGTCGCTTTCTTGTATTCAGACAGGTCTCGTGTGGTCTCATTGACAAGAGTTGACGTTCGTGCGTTGCACAGAAAAGTTCATGGAGGAATTATTTCTCCTTTTCTTTCACTCTTTTGAAAGTTTACTCTTCACCAGCCTGGACCTCAGGGTGGATAAGGGTAGAGCTGTGTTATATGTGCATGAATGTGTGTGTGTGTGTGTGTGTGTGTGTGTGTGTGTGTGTGTGTGTGTGTGTGTATGTGTGTGTATGTGTGTGTATGTGTGTGTATGTTGGGCTTTTCTTCTATCTTCTTTTGTATGTTTAAACACAAACCACATTCCTCCTGGGATTGACAAGATTCGTTAACAAACTTCTCAACGGAACATCTTCTATATGCTCCGGCCTACTTGCTGCAACTAGAGTAGGTTGCTTCTTTCTGCCCATTGGTCAATTTTTATTCTATGGATCGGTCTGAATTTGATTTTCTTCGCGGTTATCGGGTTTTCCTTCTTTTCTCAAATGCTTTTTTGCTATTTTAAAAGATTATTTTCTGTAATGTGTCTTCTGTACTTTGAAGTGATAACTAACCAGACAGATGAAAAGACAAACAGAAAGACCGACAGACTTATTATAGACAGAATGACAGAATGAATTAGTTTGGTTTTAGTGTAAGTTTTACGGCACTCGCAACTGCATTAGAGCTCATCATATCAGTGCCAGAAGATTAGAGGTGTTACAAGAGAGTAACAAACATAAAAAAGAAAGGGAAATAAGAACGATAGACGTTTGATAAAAAAAAAAAAGCAAACCACATCAGAGCACCCGCGAACCACCTACTGGCAGAATGAATGGATGGATGGGTGGATGGTATGGTATGGTATGGTATGGTATGGTA